AGAAGGAAAGAAGATATATAATAAGATAAAAGAAAAATTTAAAATAATTATTTTTAGTTTTTTTTATTTTATTTTTGTTTTAATTTAATAAAATGATCTTATCCCGTCCTAAATACCAGCTTTAAAGTTTGTGCTCGTATGAAAAAAAGCAAGTAGATATAATTATTTATGTTTTACTAAAAGAACAAAATACATAAAAAATAATTATTAACATCAGATTCCATGCTATTTTTTGCTTCGAGTCAGAGGATATTATAATATTTATAAAATTTAATAAAGTTTATAAATATTTTTATGTTAAGCTTTGTTTAATCTATTGATTATAAAATAATTATTAATTAATATATTTATTTTAATAATAAGTAGTATAAAATTTAATAGTAACTAAATTAAAAAAAGAAAGAAAATAGTATTAGTTTATTTTATTTTTAAACAAAAATATAAAATTAAAGAAATTTTTTAATATTAATTAATTTTATAAAAAAAAAAATTAAAACTTTTGTATATAAATGTAATTATGATTTTTATAAAAATAAAAATAAATAAAAATTAAAAAAATAGAAGTAATAAATATACATATGTTTGAATTTAAATATACAAAAATAGATATGATAATGAAAATATAAAATTAAATTATAAATAAAAAAAAAAATACATAAAATAAATAATTAAAAAAGAAAAATTATTATTAATAAAATAATATTGAATTTTTATAAGATAATTTATAAATTAAAAAAAAAATTAAATAATATTTATCTATATTAATAAAGAAATATAAGCTTTATTATAGAAATTGTAAAATATTATAAATATATTATAAATATATAAATATATATAAATATTTATATATATATATATTTATATTTATATTTATATTTATATTTATAATTTATTTATTTAAATAAATAATTTTTTTTTTTTTATTTTATAATAAAAAAGATATTTATATTAATTTTAAAATATTAATCAATTAATAAATAATTATTATTTTAGACAATTTATATACCAGTTTTTATATACTATATTTATTTATTAAATATTTAATATATATACTATCTTTATTTATTTTCAAGAATTTAATTTGATTCTCATTATAAATAATATTTTATTTTTATTACTTTAATTGTTAATTTAGCTTTTTTCCATGATTTTATTATTTACATTAATTTTTTGATATTGTAAAATAATATTATTTATTAGGTTGATGATTATTTAATAATAAAATCAAATCAAAAAAGCATATAAAAAATAATAAATAAATAAATTTATATATATTAAAAATATTTTTAAAAAAGAAAGCTTAACTTAAATATTTGAAGTTTTCTAATAGCATATGAAAAACATTTATAAAAAATAAAATATAAATATTTAGAAATATATATAAATATAAAATACAATATTAAATATGTTAATTTATATTAAAATTAAAATAAAATATTTTCCTTTATTTTTTTTATTAACTATTTTTATTTTAAATTTAATATATTTTTAATAGATAATATATGTCCCAATGATAGGAGTTTTAGTATCAACATATTTGCTTGTACAGAACGCAGGTAATTTTATAATTAATTTTATTATTAAAAAGTAGTTATTACTGCTATGTTAATTATTCCTTTAGATGAAATAAAAACAAAAATTTGAACTTAATATTGTTACGTTAATTATAATTGTGACAAATATAAAGTTAGTAATAACAATAATAATTTAATACATAAAAATAAGTTACTTAATTAAACTGTATAAAAAATTTATAATTTTGCAAATATATAATTTAAATAAATAATTACTGAATGCAAGAAAAAGAAAGCAATACCTTCTTATAAACTTTCTAAACTGTTTGGTAAAATTAAGGTTTTAATAGAATTTTTAGAGATTTTGAATCTCATATTATTATTTTCGTCATTTTTCTGCTTTTTCAATATACACTTATGAATTAATCAAAAAAAGGTTTATAAAATATCATAATTATTGATAATATATATATGTATGCTTTTTTTAAATGTATATTAATATAATTGCACTTTATTTTTATTTTAATTAATTATCTATTAATATAAATTTAAGTTATTTTTTTAGCATTTAAATAAATAATAAAAATAAAAATGATGAAGATATAAAATATTTATAATTTTAAAATAAATGAATTTAATTTTATAAATCATTTTTTCTTTGTTATTTCACTGCTTCTTCTAACAAGGCTCTTTTTACTTTTGCTCTTCTATGAGTTCCAAGTCTTTTTCTCGCAATTTTTGTAGCTTTTTTACTATCTTTAGCGCCTCCTGCTTTTATGAGTTCAATAATTCTTTTTTCATAAGGTGCGAATCCTGTCAATTCACGAACTACTTATCTAACTAATCCGACTCTTTTTCCTAAAGATCCTTTTCTTCTTGATGGTTATTCTCTTTTAAATTTCTTATTTAATTTAGTTGTTATAAAACCTTTATTTAATCCTACTGCAATACCTTTTGCCTATTTTTTTTTATATTTTATTATTTTTTTTCTTTTTAAAAATATATTTTATATTTATCTTATAAATAAATTTATACATAATATAATATAAAAGATTAAAATTTCTACATATATAAATCATAAAAAAAATTATTTAAGCATAATAATAATTTATTTTAATATTTAATTTATATTTATTCTTATCTTAAATTTATGTATTCAACATTTAAACATATATTTTTTCATTTGTTATATTTTTATATATTATTTAACATATTTCAAAAAATAATATATAACTTTTATTTAATAGTTAATGTATATTTAATTTATAATCTCTATTTCAAAATTTTAAGATAATAAAATTTAAATTGATCATAAAAATATATTACTATAACATACAAATTATAAAAAATAATAGAATCAAGTTTTTATATAATGTTAGCAAAATATGTTTATTTTAATTTAATGAATTTATTAGTTTTAAGCCCACTTAATAAATTTTTATTTATTAAATATTAGATTTAATATTTATTAATTATTATTTTTCAAATCTGATTACAGAATCAGGTCATAGGTCATATATTTTAATTCTTAATTTTGATTATTTTTAATTATGTTAAATCTGTTTTGTTTTCAATCTAATTTAAAGTAGGAGAATATTCAAGAGTGAGTTATTTCTTTTAAAATAAATAATATTTATATTATTTTACTAAAAATTAATTTTCTGTATTAGCATAAATAGATAAAAATGAAAGCTAATATATTATATATTTATTTAAAAAACTATTATTATAATATATTTCTTTAATATCATTATATATATTATTAATTTATAAAAATTTACTATTACTTTTTTACTCTACCTTCTAAAGGACTTTATATTTTTATTCTAATTAATATTATTATATCTATTTTTCCAAATTATATAAGATGAAAAAAAATTATAATGCTATTATCTATGATATTTATTTATTTGTTTATAATTTTTTTTATTTAATTAAGTATTAAATTGTCATTATCGTTTATATAGTTTTTAATTAAATAATTTATATAGTTATATGTTTCATGATCAATTTTTACAATTCAATTTTTTTATTTTATAAACCTTAAATATGAATAAAGATAAACAATTTTTTTTTTTTTATTTTTAACAATTATAAAATGCATTCATTATAAAATTCTTTTATTTATGTGGTATATTATTATAAAATTATTATACTTTTTATATTCTTTTAACATGAAATGATCATTATAATTATAAGTAAGAATATATATTTGCTAATTTATATCTGAAAAATATCAATAATGTTATCTTATTTTATGATAATTTTAAATATTTTATTCATTTTATTATTATATTTACTTGAAATAAATGATATTAAATATTTTTTATGAATTTAATTAAGTTTTATAATTTTATCTTCAAAAAATAATTTGAATATATATATTTTTTAATTCTGATTAGATAAATATGTAATATTATATTTATAATAAAATTTATATTTGATATATATTTTAATTTTTTGCATTACGTTATAAATATGTTTCCAGTATAGAAAAAAATCAATATATACTTCAATTTTTTAATATAATTATAAAAAAATGCTATTTTTTATTAATAAAAAAACATAAAAAAATTAAAAATTAAATGTTTAATAATATAAATAAAATATAATTTAAGAAAAAAAATAAAGTTTTAATTAAAAAAAAAAAAATTAAAAATTTTGAAATATATTAAATGTAAATTTTATGCCTATTTTATATACACAAACTTTTATAAAAAGTATAAATTAAAAATTTATAGTTTTTAAAAACTTAAAACAAAATATAAAAATAAAAAAAAAAAAAAAATTATAATGAAAAAAGAATAATTTATACTAAAAATTTTTAATGTAAAAATCTTAATGTATTAAATATAAAAATTAAAATATTAAAAATAAATATTAGATTAAAATATAATAAAAAAATATTTTAGTATGAATTTATTATCAAAAAAATTTCTAAGAAATGCAAAGAAAGAAAAAAAAATAAAAATTTAATAAAAACAAATATAAATATAAATATAAATATAAATATAATATATAATAATAAAATATATAAATTAAATAATTTAAAATTTTTATATATAATTTTATAAATATTAATTTAAATTTTTGAATAAATAAAAATAATATAAATAAAAAAAAATTATTTTTTTTGATATTTTTTTAATTATAAATTAGATTATCTAATAAAATTATTTAAGTTAAAATTAAATTAATTTATTATTTAAAAACATATTATTTTATTTATAATTTAATAATTAATTTATTAATTTTTTAATTTTTTTATAATTTTTTTAATATTTTTTTTTATATTTATATTTTTTTTTTATTATTTTTAAATTTAAGTTTATCATTAATCAAAATTTTTTTTTTTAATTTTATATTTTTATCTTAATTATAATTTTTTTTTTAAGGCTGTCTATTATATTTTCATAAATATTTTCTTTATTTATAAATTTTTCATCAATATCATCATCTTCATATATATCGTTAATTTTTTTTTATAATATCCCTATTGTTTTTCGGTTTAATCTATCTCTATCATTTTTTTTATTAAATACTTGCTTAAATAATACCTATTTTTAAATTCATATTTTTGATTTCTTTATTTAAATTTATAATCGCTTCTTATATTTTTTACTTTTAATTATTATTAGTTATTAACTTTTCTTTTTCTTAAATTTATTTTTTTATTCTTGTATTTTATTCCTTTAAATTATTAAGATGTTTAACATATAGTTCTACTTATTCAGATCTTTATTTGAGTTCTTTTAAAAATTCATTTTTATTTCTTGCTTATTCTTACAAAATTTAAATATTTTCTAAATTTCCTGAATTAATTATATATTGTCCATTTTTTATATCATCTAATTAATTTTATAACTAAACATAAAATTTATCATGTATAGATTTATATTCAAAAATATCATTTTTAAGTGATTTTTTATACTTTTGCATTTTGTATAAATTAAAATAATATTCTTCCTACTTTTATCTTTCAAATTTATTAATATTTTTATCAAAATCATGTAATTCTTAGTACACTCTTTTATATTCTTTTTTCCAATCTTATTCATTTATTTCACTTTTTATAATTATATTATTCTCATTTTTTTCTATATCTTTATTTATGAATTCTTCGTGTTTTTCTTCTTCATAATATGAAGAATTTATTGAATTGATTTCTTTTATGCTTTCTTCGTTTTCAGAATCGAGCAAAATCACTTTTTGGTCACATTATTCATTTTTAAAAATAGGCTAATCGAATTTAAAATTTACACGTATTAATTCTCTATTAAGTATATCATTTAAAATAAAACAAATTGTATCTCCATATCCCTTTATTTTATTTATATTAATATTATTAAGTTTTTTTAATTATTTTTACATTTCTGATATGAGATATATTTAATTAGTCAGGAAGCCTAGAACCCCATTTTCTTAAATCTTATAACAATTGTTGACCACATTCTTCAATAGAATCCCAAATACCATTATCTTTTAATTATTAAGCTGCTAAGATTTTATTTTTTTAATCATACTTTTAGTATATTTATTTTTAAAAATTTATTTATCTATAATATTATTTTTTAATTACTTTTTTTATAGACATAATCCAATATGAAAGTTCAGCAAAATAAAAAAACTTTTCATTATTTAAAATCATATTATTATCTGGAAGTGCAAAATATATTTTAGAAATAGGTTTTCTATTAATAGGTTTACAAAAATATTTCTAATACTCTAAAAGAGTTAATTTTTCATAGATATCTTCATTTATCTGTATTTTAAATAAATATTTATAAAATTTTAATTTAAGAAAAAAAAAAAAAAATACCAAAACACAATCTATCTTCGGACTTTTTTTCATATTTTCTATAATTTCTTGGCTTTTAAAGAGTACATATCCTGAATCTATTCTTTTTGAAGGATCAACAATAATCATCTAATCAATAATATTAGAAAGCTCTTCACTGTATCTTTTACTGATTTTCTTATATTGCCCTATAAAATATAATAATTGAATAAATAAATATATAAAACCTTAAGTAATTTTGTTGAAAAGATCCATTAGACTCATTTTCTCATTTTCATTTCTAAAAGGACTTTTTAATTCACAAAATTCATAAATAATACAACCTAAAGACCATATATCACTTTTCATATCATAACCTTCTCCATTTAAAAGCTTTTTAAAAATAGAATAAAATAATATAATGTATTTTTAATTTACTTCAGGACTCATATATAAAGGTGTACCTACTTTAGAATAAGCTTCGATTGTTTCTGAAGAAAATTCTCTACCTAAACCTAAATCACCAATTTTTAAAATATCATCAGATGCAATAAATATATTTGCAGGTTTTAAATCTCTGTGCATTATTCTTTTCTCGTGCATGTGGTTTAAAGCAGATGCTATTTAATTCATATATTCCCATATTTTTAATTCTTCAAAGGGATTTTCTTCTTATTATTATATTTTTATTAATCGTTTCAAATCTCCTTTTTCGGCCCATTCTGTTACTATTATTAATTCATTATTGTGTATGAATGAATCTAAATATTTTATTATATTTTTATGGTCTAATGGCTTCATTAATTCCACTTCTTTTAAACATTTATCTCTTTATTTAGGATCCATCATGTCGAATATCTATTTTTTTATAAGATAAATATTATAATTATTATTATTTTTAACTTTAATCTTTTTCAATGCTGCTATTTTATTATCGGATGTTTCCGCTTTGTAAACAGTCGAAAATTTTCCTTGTCCTGTAATTATTTAATTTTTTAATTTAATTTTTATTTTATTTTAATTTTTTTTTGAATTTTTTTTTAAATGTTTAGTTTTTAATAAGAATATAATCAGTTACTTTTAAAAATAAAATACCAATTGGTTTTTAGACTCTATAACCGTTCATATCTTTTCCGACGTATTCATGTATGTCTTTATTCATTTTATATATGTTTTTGGATACTTTTTCTTATTTAGTTATATATTTTTTTTTTTATTATTTAAAATGAAAAATAATTTAAATATTAATTTATAAATGAATAAGAAAACATAATAAAAAAAAATTTAAAAAATTCAATCAAATAAATTGTAATAAATTAATATTAATATTTATGAAGCTTTATATATGATATCATTTAAAGATAAAATTTAAAAAATAAACTTTTTTAGATGATTTTTATGAATAACATTTTTCCTATGTATTTAGCAATTGCAATAAATTTTATAATAAAAATAAGTCGTGATTATTTTTAATTAAATTTAATGCACAATGATTAAATTTTAATAATGATATTATCATAAAAGTTATTTAATTATTATAAAATAATATCATATAAATAAATAAAATTTCCTAATTAGAATATATTTTATTTATATTTAATATAATCTTTTAATATATAAATATATATTTAAGATTTTTTATAAAAAAATATAAAATCTAATACTCTATTGTTATAATATTTTTCAAATAAATTATTAATTAAAATAATTTTAGTATGAAATAAAAACTATATTAAAATTTTGGTAATTATATATATAATATTATATATATAGAAAATAAGTTATAATTTTATTAAATATATTATTTATTTATATTAATATTATATATATTATTTTATATTTTTTTTTTTATATAAATCTTGCGAAAAAAATCATTATAAATATATATTTAAAATAATATTTTTTTAAAAAAATTTAATAATATGTTATATAATTTCAATATTTATAAAATAAATTTAAATTACTTATATATATTTTAGAAAAATATTACATAAAATTAAAAGCAATACCAAATGCTAAATTAGTTATTTTTTTTTTAGAGAATAATTTTTACGAATTGTTTTTATGTTTCTATTGCTTATTTCGTCAACAAAAACGATTTAATATTTCTATTTAATAATATATACAATGTTTTTTAAAAAATTTATTATCATTTTTAATTGTTTTAAAAACTAAAAAAATTATTAATATAATTTATATTTTTGTATTTAAAATTTGTTTGAACTTTTCATATTTAAAATCGAATTTAAATTTTTAATATGCTTTATAAAGACTTTATTTAGCAATAGAATAAACATATTCAAATGTTTTATAATTGCGCTTGAAAAATATTCCTTAAACTAATTATATACTATTTGCTATAATTGCTTATATAGTTTTATTTACTTTTTCATTAATTTTTTTACTTAAACTTAGTTAAAAATAAAAGCGAGAAAATTACGATAATTGCCTGTTTCATTGTTTCATTAGCTAATTTTTATATAATATTCATGGCCCTTAAAAAATTATTTTTTATTCAAATTTTATTCTGTGTTCATCACGTTAAATTATATTTTTTATTTATATTGAATTAAATTAATTATTGATAGCACGAGTAAATAATAGAAAACATTAATTATAATAAATTAAATAAAGATTTATTTTTAATTTAATATTTTTTATATTAACATTGTTATTAAATTTAAAATAATTGTTATCATGGATGGATGTAAAAAAGAAAATTATTTTTAATATTACTAATAAATATAAATATTCTATTACAAAAAAGAATGTATTTATTTTTTAACAAAATATAAGTTTTGGTAATATGATTTTCTAATACTAATATTATTTCTAACAATAATAAATTTTATTATAATCTAATATAATTTTCTTACAAATAATTATTTTTAAAATAAATTTTGATTAATTTATTAAATTTATTGAAACATCATAATATTTCTTATTTTAATTATTTTTTGTAAAAAAATGAATTTTGTTATTTCTATTATTTTTTCATTAACTGTTAAATTTAAAATCATAAAATCAGATTGAATTTGAAAAAATTTCAACCACTTTCTGTATGCTATATTAGTTACAAAAAATGTATAAATGTTTGTAAAAAATTCATATTTGCTTATAAAAAATTTTCATATAATGCTAAAGAAAATTTATATTTTATATCAGTAAATTTTATTAATTGTTATCAAGTAAATTTAATCATTCTTTAGTATATAAACAAGAAATTTAAAATATTCTTATTTCATTTATATATGGATAAAATAATAAAAATATATAAATTTATTTAATATATTTTAAAAATATGATGTATGTTACATTTTCAAGTTTTATAATTTAATTTAAGGTATGGAAAAAAATACAAATTTTATAAATTATACGATCTTTTATCTAAATAAAAAAGAAAAAATTAGATAAATGTTTGTAAATAAACTTAAATAAATATAAATTTAATAATATTTATAATAAAAAAATGTAAAATTTTAAATTATATTTTTCAAAAAAAAAAAATATAAATATAAAATCATATTATAAATAAATTTAAATATATAAAAATATAAATAAAATTTATTATATAATATTAATATTAATTATAGTTATTTCATTAAAAAAAAATCTTTATTTAAAAGAAGAAAAAGTTTATTTATGCAAAATAAATAATAAAAATAGAATTAATTAATGATTAAGATTAAATTAAAAAAAGTTCTAAATTTATCAGAATATGGAATAGATTATCGTATAAAATTATTTAAAAAACATCAATATATTAAATAAATAAATAATAAAAAATATATATATAATTTAAATATGATTAAGTTTACAATAAATACTCATTCTTTTGATTTAAAAATAAAGATTTTAATTTTGACAAAAACAAAGAGAACATTATTTTTTTTATGATAGTAATGTAAAAAAATAAATAAATACAAAAAAAGATAATGTATTATTTAATAAATTAAGGGATTTTTGTAATCAGATGGGACTGAAGTTAACATTTTTGCCTATTGAATAATAGATATTAGATTTATTTAAAATTTTATAGTTTTAATATAATATTATTTATTATTTAAATTTATTATTAAATAATATTTGTTTTACAAACATTTAAAAAAATAAAATCAAATTTCATGAAAGAAAATATTTACTTATAAATTATTTTTATAGTTAAACTTAATATTTTATATTATAGTAATATGTAAGTTAATGTTGGAGTAATATAGTTATGCAAAAAGCTCTTATTAACCTATTGTATTTTTAGATTTAAATGAAGAAAATTAAGAATTAGTAAAATAAATTTATTATTAATTAAAAAAATTTAAATAATAAACTTATAGAAAAAATATATACTTATTCAGGATAAATTAAATGAAGAATAGGTTTGATCTAATTAATATAAGAAAAAATCATAATGTAATATTAAATAAATTGAATTTCTTATCGAACATAGGTTTACCCTATAATATAATATTTTAAGACAGTATCAAAATAAATATTTTTAATATTAATAATAATTATACAAAAATAAAAAAAAAAAAATTTCATCTGTAAAAATAAAACCTCCTCATTTAAAATTTTCTAACATTTTTAGACTGGAAATAATTATAAAGTTTTGATTTGGTAAATGTTAATATTAAATAAAAAATCTATGATTTTATTTTAAATATAAAATAAATATAAAGAAAATGTATTTATTAAAGGAATCAAATTTTATTTTATTTTTAAAAAATTAAACTAAACATTATTTATTACTATAATACTACAAATAACGTCTAATACCTCTCAAATTATATAAAAAAATAACCTTTTTGCAAAAAGATTGGAAGAAAATTTCTAAAATTTAAAATTTCATAACTTGTTTTTTTAAGTTAAATCTAGAAAAATAATGTAAATCAATTTTTTTCATTAAAATGATTAAAGGGAAGTAAATACAAAAGCTATCTATATAATTAAAATTTATTTTCTATTTTCGGATTATATATTATAATAAAATAACAAAATATTTACAAATATTTTTTTATTTAATTTAGAAAACATAAATTATTCGCAAATATTTATTAAAATAAATGAATTATTTAGTAAACGGATTAGATTATCAATAGTTTCCTATCCCAAAATATTAGAGAATAGAAATAATAGGATAAATATTAGCAGGAGTTTTGTTATTTATATCATGGATATACTTTATTTTACAATATAAAAATTTAAATGATGTAATACCAGTTTAATTTAGCCTTGACGGAGAACCTTAATCTTTTAGTAATAAATCTTCATTATTTGTATTTCCAGGAATAAACACACTAATTTATTTAATTATAACTATTTTAGAACGTTTTCCAGACAGATTTAAATATTCAATTTAGTTAAATGAATAAAACTCTTAAATAATTTATCTATATGCACGTAAGTTTTTGATATATATAAAAAATGTTACTAATTTACTTTTTATATTTCTGACATTTGCAATGATTAGAGTTGTATAAGAAAAAATAAAACCAATGAATATGTATTTTTGCTTTTTTTCTTTACCTTTTTACATATTAGGAATTATTTTGTATTTCAGAAAATTAAAATAAATACAAGATTAATAAAAATAATCTATATGAAATGCAATACTATACTATAAGATGGATATAATAAATTATAAATATAAATTTATATACTAATTATTGTTTCTTAATAAATATTGTGCCTTGAAATTTTAATTATGAATAACAAAATATAATAAAAATAATAAATTATTATATTATGAAATTAAATAATAAAATATTAATATGAAATTTAATAATATATTTAAATAGATAAATTAATATAGATTATATATATTCAAATAACAATATTAATTTTTATTAAAATTAATTTATATTTATAAAAATATTAATTTTTAAAAAACTTAAATTTATTTTATTATCAAATAAATAATTTTTTTGAAGAATATATTATTAAAAAATAAGATATATTTAAATAAAAAAAATTATAATTATAATTTCAGTATATTTTTTTTTGATAATTTTTAAAAAAATGGAAAAAAAAACAAATCGATACATATAATATTGAAAATTAATAAAATAAGCCTAATCTAATTGTAAAAATAAGCTTAACTATAAAAATCTAGATTTAATATAATAAGCCATGCATTATAAAAAATTAAAAAAGAAATTAATGGAATTTAAAATACTTAAAAAGTAACCAAACTTTTTATTTTAGCAATGATTGTAATACATTATAAAAATTAAAATGAGTTTATTAGGTGAATACGGGGAAAAATATTCCTAGTTATTTTGCTAGCTCTATATATATATTTAGAAGATATTAAAAGACTTATGTAAAATTTATTGTAGCAGCAACTACTATTATTAACGAAAGATAATAATTAAAAAAAATATTTTAGAAACATGATTTTATAAGCATTTATTGAAAGCAATTTTTAAATTTTATTTTATAAAAAGTTATTTAAAAAAAAAAAAAAAATTGATTTAATAATATTTACTTAGTATAACATTACAATATATTAAAATAAAAAATTTTATGTAAAAAAAAAAAATATATATATTATAATTAAATTCTAATGAATTTGAAAATTGAAAACATAAATTATTATAATATTAATATTTAAATAGTTAAATAATATAAATATTAAAAATATAATTTAAAATTATAATCTAAAATAAAAACAACATTTATTTAAAAAAAAAAAAATTAGTAATTAAAATTTATATTTATAATAAAATAAATTATACTTGTAAATTAAAAACCTTATTAAAAAAATTATTAAGAAAAAATTAAGACACTAAAAATTGTATTATTTATTTATATTATATAATAAATTAATATATTAATTTTTAGATAAATTAAATTAAAAAAATAATAATATAGATATATACAAAATTTTTATAAAGTTATAATTTCAAATAAATGAATAAAAAAAAAATTTGTATATAATTAATAAAAAAACATGTATTTATAAAAAATAGTAATAATAGGAAAAAAATAAAAAAATTTAATGAATTAAATAAAATAAAATAAAAAAAATGAATTAAATTATTTATTTATTTATTTATTTATTTATTTATTTATTTATTTATTTATTTATTTATTTATTTATTTATTTATATTATATTATCTTTTTTAAGTTTCATATTTCTCTATTTTTTATTTTTTTCTAATTTCTATTTTATAATTTATTTATTCATATATCTATATAAATATTTTTTTATTTCATTATTATTTTTCTTTATTTATTTTAATTTATATAAAATTAATTTATTTTTTATTTTTAATAAATTTACTCGTGATCAAATGAATTTTTTTCTAATAAAAAATTCTGAAAAAATAAATATAACCTAATATTAAATTATATTGGTATTCAATTTTTTATTTATAATTAACTTTTAATTATTTTGTCTATTATTCATATTATTTATTTTCTAAAATATTTCCTAAGATTTTAAAACACTCTATATATTCATTACCTCTTATTACAACAAATTAATGAACTCTTAAAAAAATATTTTATAATAAAACTTTTATAATATATATACATAAGGAGCAAATCATTATTTTAATTTGTATATTTATCTTCATAAAAAATTGAAACTTTTTTCAAACAAATGCTATTAGTTTTTATCAAGAGTTCATATAAATTACAATGACATTTATTTTCTAATTTTTCTTTAAATTTTACAAAAGATTAATCATATTATATTGATCTTCTTCTTTATAATGTATAATAAAGACTATATATTTTTAAAGATAATATTTTTAGTATAAAATAAGTTTGTTTAAATTTTTATTCCAAACATTACAATAATTTGAAATGTAATCTAACTGGGATTTGTGGAAAGGGATAAAATATTTTAATTTTTGTTATATATTATATTTAAAATTTTCAAATATCAAGAATATTTATTTTTAAAAATAATTTATTATACAAAATATTAATATTTAAATTTATAATTAAATTTAAAATAATAATTATAATAAATAAGTAAACCTAAATATTTTATGACAAAATAAATTCGACTAACTTTATTTAATATAAATATATTTTAAATTAAAAATAAAAATAAAAATATTAAATTAGATAAAATTATTTTTAATTCTATTTATATTTTATTGTATATAAAATTTATTATTTTATAATTTTTAAATTTTTTAATTTATTTATTAAAGAATTATTATTAAAATATACTTAAAAGATAAAAATGATTAAAAAGTTTGTGGAAAAAGTATAACTGTTTGAAGAATAAAAAAGAGCACCAATAATCTATGCATTGCTTGGCGCTCTTATGTATGTTATAATAGGTATTATTATAAAAAAATATTCTTAAATATCTCCAACGTAATTTCTATATTATAGATCTATATTATGCTTAGTAATTAATCATGTAATAATGCGTACATTTGACACTGGAGTATATCCATAAAATCCTAGAGTACATTTCTTGCTTATAATAAGATGTATTTTTGGAGGATTAACTCATTTTTGCTATTTTTAAGCTATAGGATTAATGAATTTAAGTGATGCAATGGCTATTTTTTTAACCTCTCCAATATGGACAAGCATTTTAGCAGCTATATTGATAAAAGAAGAGAAGATAGATTCAACAATTTTTTTAACTATATTAATGAGTTTTTTTGGAATATTATTAATCATAAAGCCACATTTCTTAATGGTTTATTTAGGTCTTTTAACATAATAAGTAAGTTCAGATTACTCAAATACTATTTTAGGATTAGCAATGTGCTGCGGCTTTAGTTTTTTTGTAAGCTTTGGTAGTATTATAGTTAAATCTATTGGCTCATCTATATCTGCTACAATTGTTGTGCAATATGTATATATTTCTGGTTTTGCTATAAATGGTATATATTTAATTATTTAAGGAGATTTTAACGAAAATGTATACTATATGGAAAATTTGGTAGGAATTTTAATACTTTCCTTTATTAATTTAATTGGATAATTAATTAGTAATAGAGCAGTACAATTAGGAAAAACTTCTTAGGTTGTACCACTAAATTACACTTAAGTAGTAATGAGCTTTTTAGTAGATATTTTCATATTTCATAAAGAATTAAGTTATATGAGTATTTTTGGATCTTGCTTAATTTTATTAGGTAATTATAAAATAATAACTAAATCTTCGTGAAGATTAAGTTTTAAAATTTAAATAAATGTTCTTAAAAAATAAAAAAAAATATACTTTTTTAAATTATGATGAATAAATTTTTAAAATTAATAATATTTAATAAAATATATATAAAATAAAAAAATTAATAATATAAGTATAAAATAAATATTATAATAATTAATAATAAATATTCAAATTTTATTTTTGTCGTTTTTTAATATTATTTATATCATTTATATTATTGTTTTTTAATAAAATAAAAATAATATATTTTTTTAATAAATTTTATAAATATTTTTATAAATTAATTTTGTAAAAAAATTAATTTAAATGAAAACAACAAATTAATAATAATCAAACAATAATATTTAAATAAGCCCAAATATTAATACTAATTTTTCAAAGAAATAAAGTCAAATTGAAGAAGAAGTAAAAAATAAGGTTAAAATAGTCATTCGTGTAAGACCTCCTTTAAACAATGAAGTAGATGAGCTTTTCATTAACTAATTAGATGTTTAAAAAATATAATTATTTATAATATAATAATATAATAGGAAAAAACAATAAAAATATTAAGACCAGGCCATAATTTACATATGAAATTTAATTAAATTATATCATAAAATGAAGAATAATTATAAATATTTAAATCTACTTAATAATCAATATATTCGTTTTTAAATGGTATAAATAATACAATATTTGCATAGTATTGCATATATATATTATTATATTTTTAATTTATTTAAATATTTATTTTATAATTTAAGTGGTTAAACAGGAGCAGGGAAAACTTATACAATCTTAGGAAATCTTGAAGATAATTCATCGTTTTTAAATAATGATAAAATAATGCAATTGCTTAAAGGAAATGAAAGAGGAATTTTACCAAGGGCTTTATGTTTAATTTTGCAAGAATATTAAAAAAAAGCGAAGAAGTATAAACTTTTTATTAGCTTTTATGAAGTTTATAATGAAAAAATATATGATTTATTTAATGGGAGTAATTAAAAAGATGGATTAGAAATAAGAGAATTTAAGAATGGTGAAGTTTAAATACCGGATCTTATATAAATATAAATAAATGATATTAATTAAGCTTTAGATATGTTAATAATAGGATTGAAAAATAGAGCTACAGGATAAACCATGGCTAACTCTAAATCTTCTAGATCACATTCAATATTTTAAATATAATTATAACATATAAATGGAGATAAAATATCTGATACATATGTAAAAAATATTTTTCATAAATATACACTATTTACATTAAATAAATATGCAAAAATAATAATAATATATTTCTTGTTCATATAATTATTTGTTTATCTTTCTGTAATTTTTTTTAAAAACTCAATCAACAACAACAAAAAAAGGCATCATATATTTATTCTCTCATTTTTTTTGTAGATTGAGTTTATAAAAAAGATTACATAAAATAAAAAAATATATGATAAAGTAATATATAATTAGTCTCATATATATATAAAATAAATAAATCTAAAAGTTAAAAATTGTAGATTTGGCAGGAAGCGAGAAATTCAAGATCCCACATGATATATCTAATAGTGAAAAAGAATTAAGAATCCAAGAGTTAACATGCATAAATGGTTCGTTAAGTTCATTAGGTCATTGTATTACTGCATTAACTGATAAAAAAAGAACTCATATACCTTTTAGAAATTCCAAATTAACAAGAGTATTAAGTGATTCTTTGTCGGGAAAAGGTAAGATTGCTTTCATAGTATGCATTTCACCATCAATGAGTTCATCACAAGAAACTTTTTCTACGTTATAATTTGCAAATAGAGCTAAAAGAGCAATTTTAGATTCAAGAAATTTAAAAAATGATAAATTTGAAAATCTAAAAGAGGAATAAATTAGTTTAAAAGAACATTTGGAGTTAAAAATTGAATACAATAAAGAAATATAATTGAGAGAAAAATTATAGCAAATTTTGAAAGACCTTAAAGATAATAATGATTATGATGTTTAAATCGAGAATATAATGTTAAAAAAAGAAAATTAAAAATTAAAAAAACTAATATAAAATCATGAAAAAAACTTTTAGAAAAATTAGATTGAAGAAATGAATAGTTTAAATTATATGTAAGATTTTTTTAAAAAAGAAGAGATTTAAATGAAAAAGAATAGAAATTGTTTTGATTAATTTAATTATTAAAAAAATTATAATGAATAGGAAATTGGAAGTATGATAATTAATAAAAATTTAGTTAAATTCAACTGTCCTTAAAATAAAATAGACTTAAATTGTTAAAACTCTTCTTTTAATACAAATGATGATAGTTTATAAAAATTATCGATATTTCAAAATAATTAAGATTAAAATTAAAATCAAAATCAAAATAATTTTATTGATTAAAATTTAATTTATAATAGCAATTTTAAAAGTATAAATTAATTTGATTTCTGGAAAGAAAGCTCAGAAGAAGTAGATTTTTTAAAATTAGTTAATAATACTAATGCTCCCACTTAATAAATAAAAAGTAAAGAAATTTAAAAAAAAATTGAATAATATTTAGCTTATATATCTCCAATTGACGATTATTTATCCGAAGAATAATAGAATAACCATATAAAAGATTATAACAAACAATAATATAATAATGTAAATAATTAAATAAATCAAAATATGAATTATTTCAATTTTAATTCTAATTAATCATCACCAGATGAGAATCCTGGTATATTTATTATTTTTGCATTTTTTATATTCAAAAATAAATATAAATCAAAAAAAAATAGACAATATAGTTTAGGATTTATAACATGAAATGAATTAAGCCATTTCTTAACTTCGTATTCTTTAATGTAAAATAAATATTTTATTTTTATTATTATTTCAATTTAGAGGAAGATAAATAAATTAAATTAGATCATAGTTTATATAAAACAAAAGATTTAGAATAATAAAATAATAAAAATAATTTATGTATTTGAATTTATTATAAAATAATTTATAAATTAAATCATAAAATATTATAGTATATAAATAATTTTATTTTTCATTTGTTAAAGATAATTTTTTCCTTTTATTCGCTCAAAATTTTTATAATTTTTATCATTAACATTTAGATATTATTAAATGTATATAGTTTTATAATTTATATAATTAACATTTAAATATTATTATATTTGCAAATCATGAGAAAAAATGAATTAAATTATTTATGATTTTCTTAGTTATATTAATGTTCTCAGTTAAAAATAATCAATTTATAAAGCTACTTTTTAAAAAAATATTAAAAATGGCAGTATTAGTTTCGGTAATATTTTTAAATAATGCCTTAATTAATTAATTAATCAATTTAAATTTAAAATATATTTAATATAAAATACATATATTATGCTTTTTATTAAAAATATTTATAAAATTAAAAAAAATATTTTAGAAAAAAAATATCTAGATATATTTTTAAAATTAAAAATTTCATATTAAATTTTAATTTTTTATATGGAATTATCTTATTCAATAAAAACCTAAAGTAAACTTATTTTAAATAAAAGTTTTAAGACATATAAATTTTTATAAAAATATAATAAGAATATATTATGTACAAATATTTATTAAATTATATTTCTATAATTTCGATTTTAAATTTATATAATATATTTAAAATAAATTGAATATAATTACTTTAAAAAAACATGCAACAATAATAAGAAAATCTAAAAAATGAATAAAATAATTCATCTCAAAAATTGTTTGATCCGATTTGTAAAACAATCTATTTTAGTATAATTATAGACTTTCTAAAATAATATAATGCTAATTATACATTTACAATGTTTTTATAAGAGAAAAATATATCAATTTAAAATATTTAAACTAAAGATTAAATATTAAAAAATTTAAATATTTTTGATTAACAGAATTTAAATATAGATATACCAGTTATAGAAATGTTAATTTAAAATATTTAATAAAAGCCAAGAAATGAATAAAAATAAACTTAAACATTTTATATTGAATAGATCGAATAATTATAAGAATGTAAAAATAATTACTCTAAACTCCCATTAATTAATACCTTTTTTATTAAGGTTTTTATACTTTTTTTCTTTTATTTATTATGGTCATTTGCATCGGAAAAGGCAAATAAATTGGTAAGACCTTAATTAATGAGAAAAAAATACACCACTAATTTATATATACTAAAAGAATAATGTTTAAATAAATATAAAAATAAAAATAATATGAAAATACTTAATTATTAAACATAAAATTAATAATAAAAATTATTAAAATATAAAAACAATAATAAAATTTTCAATAGATTAAATATTAAATATAATAAATAAAATAATTATATGTTTAAAATATTATTATCTTTATATATATTTATTTAAATATTAAAGTAAAACAACTTAATAAAATATTTATTTATAAGAAAAATTATTATAGTATATTTAAAAATATTAAATATATAATAATAAATATTTATAATAGAAAAAATTAAAATTAATGTGGTATTTAGAAATAAATAAAGCATAAGTGATTTATAAAAAATAAGGGCTTATATAACGAGAACTCAGATATATATATTTATTATTTGATAGTGTTTTCAGTTTCAATATTTTTTATTTCGTTTTACTACATATCTTTTCGATATTAGAAATCAA